GCCAAGGGGCACTGCGCTATGGATATGCGATGCCGGTTATGCCGACCGGGGGAGACTGCATTATGGACATCGCAGAAATCGCAAACGTCTAGGCAAACAGCGGGACACTGTACGATTGATATCGTGGATGTGTTCGGTCGTGTGCCCAGTCCGACTGGATGAGGTGAATGGTATTGAGCGTGTGGTTTTTGATGTTTTTTGGAGAGGAACAATCGCATATGCGGGGCTGCGCGCCGCATTTTTCGTCAACATAACGGAGCTGCACGGATGGTCCCGCAGCATCACACCTTATCGGAATGGCGGGGCGTTGGAGATCGTGCGATAAGCGTTGCGATTGTTTTCTATGCTGAGGACGTGGCCCATAGAGAATTGTGCCTGGCACGGAGCAAGCACAGCAACGGCATATGCAAAAAAACAAAAGGAGGTACTACAAATTTGCGATGTATGTGTGCAGTATACCAATTGCTTTCTATGCTGAGGATGTGGCCCATAGAGAATTGTGCCTAGCACGGAGTAATCACAGCAACGGGACTTCTTCTTCTGCTTTCTATGCTGAGGATGTGGCCCATAGACTGTTGTTTGGTTGTCAGTCAAATCTATCCCCAACCGACTTTCTGAGCAAACTCAAACACTGGATCGCGTTGCAACCCTAGAAGTTCATTCCACACAGGTGTCACCTTGGCGATGTTGGCAGAACCCAGCCATGAAGGAAATGCTGGCGCCGGCGGAGATGTATCAAACAAATGCAGTAATGTGGGATGTGCGAGTTGCAGAGCCGAAGCCGGCGCACGACTGCGACAAGCCAGCGCAATCGCATGGTACAAAAAGACGTACTCATGGATGTCCGTCAATTGCACCGCACAAACATCCGTGCCTTCGGGCACATTGCTCGGATCGAGACTTGGCTGCAAAATAAACTGATTGCCTCTAACATTGGACATGCCAATGACCACGCGCAACGAACCGGCCTCCCAGACCATTCCACGCTGGCGCTGTTGCACTTCTTCCACGGTTGAACGAGGGCACACCCACATATAGCAATGCTTGGGGCTGTCATTCACATCTTCGAGCATGGTCAATTTTGCGACCAGCTCGCCATCGCTCCTCTTGTGTTCCGGTGTCCGGACAATAGCTGCTCTGGCGGGCCGCGCTGTGCCATGTTGGACAGCGAAGTGGACTTTTTGTTGCAATTGCCGTAGCAACAAATCAAATCTGTTCTCGTATCTGCCATGCCCCCTGGTCGCATCCAAGCGGTAAACTGGACTGTGGGCACTGTGCACCAAGCCCCCAGACTCGGCACAGCCGCTCCATTCGACCTCCCGACTTCCTGCAAAAAAGACTCCGTAGACGCCATGCAACTTACGTGGGGTGCAGTTGTCAACAGCGTCGGCCTTGCCGCCGTGCGGCTGCGCTGTATTCCATGTCAGCAGCTGTCGTGAGGCGACGCTTTCTGCCCCTTCCTCTTTGGCCTTGACTCACCTGCTCCAGCTCCCGGCAAAGGCGCACCATTGTCTCTAACAACTGGTCATCTTCTATCATGCTCGCTTCCAACACGGGCTCCTCCGACACTGGAAACCGACCAGCCCGTATAAAAGCATAGGCGCCACCTCCCGCCCCTTTCAAAGGTTCCAGAGACATCCATCGAAGGTGCTTCACACTCCACCACTCGAAATGGAACTGCAGAGGATGCTTTGGTATGCCAGTCGCGCTCTTCTCGCAGCCTCACATACACTGTCGTGCTGCGTACACCTTCGCGAAGAATTCTCTGTACATGCTCATTTTGGATGCCCGATACTGGCAATGCATCATCCGGTCGTAGCCCCAGCACCACCATCTGCGCCCGTCACGCCCCGGTGTGTCAAAAGGCTAGACACTCCACCTCGCATTGCATCTAGATCGATCTACTCTCATATCACCTGACATTTACCTTCACAGCATGCATGCCAAAAAAGCCTTGCATCTACATCTATCCTCGTTTCGTGCCACCTGACATTCATATCGCCAATGACATGCCCGGCTCCGAGAGCACAGGGTTTCTTTTCGAGCTCCAACCTCCTGCTGCGGACGCAAACCGTTTAAAATTCTTACCGCACTTCAGTTTCCGATTCAGACTACCTCACAGCTCCCAAATCTGTCTTTTGCGCCGTCCGTCTCTCTTTTCGGCTTCCTCAACTGAGCCCCTAGCCCCCTGCACGCGCTCCAGTTGCTTTGGCGCACCAACGTCATGAATTCGTTGTCCCTAGCACGAGAAAATCACAGCAACTCACAACCACACGGTGTTGGATCACTACACGTACCGCTAGATAACCTTTAGAAACGTGCAGCCATCCACCCTTTGAAGCTTTGCATGAAATTATATGAATGTGGAAGGCGTATAGCCTATAGCACTTTTGTCTTTTCTCTCTTTCTCAAAGATGTATTCACTCACACCTGCATGAAGCTACAACACATCGGCATTTGTAAAACTACACCTTGCCATTAAAATGATGCAAATGATGCTAATTGCATTTCTTGCATCACCACCCCCTCAAAAAACACAAAGAATCACCTCCAAAACAACTTCAAAAACCTTATTCGGTGGACCCCCAAACATCGCAGAAATTAGACTTTACGTAGCCCTTTCTCGGGCCACCCCTTGACTTGACACCCCGACTTCTTCACTTCGCTCGCCAAACACAACTCGGCTGGCGCCTTCTACGAAAGCTCGCTGTTGCAAAAAAAGAGGCTCCGCGCGTGCTCAACTAAGCCCCTGGCCCAGTGCATGCGCTCCGCCCACAACCATCGGATGACCCCTCCCCCTTCTGACTGCTTCTTCACACTCGAGCCCGCTATCAATACTTTCCCGGCTCCGAGAGCACAGGTTGCTGCAGACCAATCCTGGGGGGCCATTTGATCACCAAAAACAAGGTCGAAGGTCAAATGGCCCTTTGGACACGAAATAACGGTATGGCCGTGGAAATTTCTTTGGCCGTGAAAAAGCCGGTAAGGCCGTGAGCAGCCCACTACCCCAGACAACACTTTCCCGGCTTCGAGAGCACAGGTTGCGATCCGTGCGGGCGGCTTCGAACGCGAAGCGTTGTGAATAGTTGCGCTCACATGGTCTGGTTGCCAAGTCTCAAAACGACCAGGATCGTTAGAGCAATCGTCAAGTCATGTTCTGCATACGCTTGCAAACACTAAACAAGAAAGGTCACCTTGCAAACCCCAATATGTTTCCTCGTGGTGGCTCCAAAACGTTTCAGAAAAAACACATCATCCAGGGCATCCTCTGTGATCACCCTTCTGCCCACCGTGGAGCTCTTGCACGATCTCCTCCGTCTGAAGCACCGCCGGAGCCTTCCGAGCCCACGTCGCTCTGGCGCTCTCTGCTCCGTCGCCCAAGGGCAAGGGCGACCGTCGCTCCGGGCGGTCCTGCCGAAGTTCCACCGAATGGCCACGGTATCAACGTCCGAATTCCGGGCTGAGCGTTCGGCGGTCAGATGCTCAGACATGACCGGTGGGACTCCATGAAACAATATGCCTACCCTCCAAACCACCCCAACTGATCCAGCCTAAAGCGCACCCTCTCTATCAGCCAGCATCCGCACTGGAAATGACTCCAAACAAGTCGTTTTCCTCGTTTCGGTGCCGGAATCGCGTAAAAACCTCGACCATCGATGGGCGACCCGAAAAAGAACCGTCCCAAAATATGGACCGGTAAAGCCACCGTGACAGTGGTGTCAGGGAAGCATTGCCCCCACTCCCAGTGCTTCTCCTGCCAGGCCCCGGACAACCGCAAGGATGCCGAGCAGCGCGGCGACAACACCGTCCAAACCGCAAGGACGCTCAGCGCGATCCGCGTGGGTCGACCCATGTGGTGGGTCACATGGTCGATGTGAAGCAGTTAAGGGGGGGCCCAAGAATACAGCTTTTGACAGATCGTGCAAGAATGCGGCCTTTTGAACTGAGATGAACCGAGAAAAAATCACGGTGTTGGCAATTTGTACATGTTCCTTGTGTGCCATGCTTCTGAGCCTGAATGAAAAATGCAAAAAAGGTCGGCATCTGCTCCAACGATGGGCTCAGGATGGCAGAAGGCAACGGCAAGAGATGGCGCGCATATTTTTCCACTACTCAATCCGTAATTCTCCTCCTTGCAGCTGAAATCACGAGAATCGAACCACCAAACAGCTTGCACGTTGCCAGAACCAAAACGTCCTCCACAAAGAATTTGAAAGGGACATGGTCAACTCAAAGACCCTTGTTTTGTCACCAAGTGGGGTCCTATTCGATGCTTCACATCGGCTTTGAAGCTTCCAGGATGGCCAGACAAAATCCCAGATCCACCTACTTCGCAGTATAATCACGGAAAGGATCGACCCCCATTAACCGTCCCATGGTCCGATAGACCCGACCTACACGTCCGTCCAATCATCTTCTCAGAAAGTATGTGGGCCACCTCTAATGTAGACTCTTGATTAGTAATACCCACATGAAGAGGACTTTTAATCCTTTTTGGCGCAGTACATGGGGTACCAACCTTACCCACCTTGTGTGGCAGTTTTGTTGTGGCCTGACATGGCCTCACCCCGATACCCCGTGACAACCTACGGACCCCGGTATATTTCATGGACGGAATTGGTCATATCGTTCATGTTGTGGTCCAACAGAAAACCACCCATCCGTATCAAAGATGGCAAAAGTTATCAAATACTGCCATATGATGATCCCAAGGTGCAACTCTTGCCAATTAATGCACGTTCTCTCCGTGTCCTTGCAGAAAACTTTCGGTGGATAGTTAAACATATTCAGACATTCTCTAGGACCAAGATTATTCCAACCTGTAAGAAACAAGGTACGTCCAGTCTGACGCGCCTGGGCTTTACCTCCGACCACGAAGGTGGAATTTCCAGACGCCACCGTTGCAAAATTCTAGTGACACGTATGGATTTATCCATGCCATGCTTAAAACCATGCCTCACGAACCGCCTTTCCATACAGATGTTTCCCTGAAATGCCGCCTAATCCAACCCCACCACCATGGCCGAATTGGCCTGAGGTCGAACGGACCAAAGCAGATGTATTCATTCAGCAGGTTCGATATGCACTCTTCCGACACAAAGATCTCGATACAATTGTCCATCCGAGCGGACATTAGCTTGATTTGATAAATTAGGAATTCAAGGGTCTTAGGACACTTGTCATGAATGTGAAAAGTCTAGTAGGTGACTTGAGCCGTCTCGTTTGCAGTGCACACAGGCACACATCGTTCGGTTTCACGTAGATCTATATATAGTGTACAGCACCTTTCCCTAGATTTTCACCAAGGACACTACCACCGGAACCCGTCATAACATGTGACAAGGGCCGCGTGATTGCGACAAGCCCGCAAGTGAGTGCATCCAAATGGGATGGTTTATTAATCAAGAGTCTACATTACATCACATCAGAATTCGCACATGGCTCACCTGGTCGCAGATTGCCTCCGTGCCCGCCGTGGCCCACGGGCCAAGGCCCAGGCTTGGCAACCTCTGTCGACCTCAGGCATCTTCGGTCGGATGACCAGTGAACCATTGATCCGCGAAGTAGGAGAGCATCAGTAAGCGGTGGACCATTGGGAAGTTCTGGGAAGTTCGCAGGCCAATTGAGGGAGGTGCCTTTCGACATCTTCCTTGGGACTTCTAGGGGTCCGACACATTCGGCATATGGGCACAACACACAAACATATACGTCATCGATCCTCTGGTTGCACTGGCGATTTCATCTCGCAAACCTACGACTTTAACTGGATGGAGCCCTAAACCAACCTAAAGCATTCGAGACTCAGTCACAAGCTGCGAAAGAGTATTTACATGGTCATCTCTTTTTCAAGTTCTCCGCCTGTCCTCCATCGCCGATGTGCAGCATGTGCGGCATTCGCGGTTTTCGTTGCGAAGGTGAAGAGTGGAAAACATGACACCTCACGCTGTTCTTGACCAACATGAGATTCACAACACTCAAAAGGATGCATCAGCATTGGTCAAAAGCTTTCTGTCCATCTAAGCAGCTCATTGCCAGCTCACATATACCAGCCCCAGCACTTGTAGATACTTGCACACTAGATTCTTCAGTGAAAAAAACGGCACAAGCCACGGGTCCAAGCGATGACTCCAAGCTGTTTGGCCCGGACCGGCGTTTCCATGCGCTGAAACGCCAAGGCGAGGGTCGGATGGGGCCGACCTGATTTATCTGCAGAATTGGCAAAATGTGGTTGGCCAAATGATCACAAGCGGACGTTTTCAAGTCATCCCACTCCAGCATGCCCCAACCAGAGCGCACCCATCACCTCATCACTCCCCGCGAAGCAAACTAAGCAAATCAAAAACGAATTCACGGACGCAACCAAACCAAAAGGAGGTTTTCGTGGAAAAGAACTGGGTGAACCGGGCGATCATCCATTGACCATGATGCAATATATATATATATATACCATTGTGACCATAGTCCGAGGACCAGCACAAAAATACCCCTGCAAAAGAATAAATAAACCTAGTTGATCATTCGAGGACCCACGTAACTCGCCGTCCCGCTTCAACCCACAACTCCCACTCCCACCAACGTCTAAGCTGCCTACAGCCATTGGCAAGCTCCATGGAGGCACTTGATCGATGTCGAACTAGTTGAGCGAACTGAAGGTCGTTCTTCGTTTTTGCCAAGCGTCTTGGTACCTGCCCTTGTTACTTAGCTTCTAGCTAGCTACTAGTACAAGGGGTAGGCAGAGTTAGGGGGCCCAAGGCCTTCCTTGTGCGCCAATCATGGGGACTAAACCCCTGGCTCCTTCTGAGTACTACTCCTAAGACCTCCTGAGAATTGCTGCAATACTGCAAAGGAAGCCATCCCGAGGCCCCCCCACCGAGAAGAAGTGCGGAGAAGTGAGACCCCACAGTTTTGGAGGTGGTTTCGAACACCGCGATCCGACCCCGACACTTTTTCTTCCGGCTCCATCTGTCACACGCAGTGAGACGATGTCCAACGAAGTGCTTGGCATCGTGGGTTTGCAATTGTTCCGTGCGAAACGTGAAGCACAGAATGTGTAAACGGTTTGGTCCACATCACATTCGAGCTGAACTGGGTCTTCGAGTGATGCACTCCACGAGAGCCGAAAGATTGCAATGTGATTAGGGTACACAAATCTGTCATGGCTCCTGACCAAAAGACACACATTTCCCGGCTAGGCAGCTTGCCGTTCCGGCACCAGTCCAACTAGGGGTTGGTCTGCGCAAGGCACGACGAAGGCAAGAGATTTGTGGGACACGGTGTTAGCAATCCATTCCTGCCAAATGACCTGGACACGCGTGGCCACTAGGCTACCCACTACCCGGCCTCAAAGCTTTCTTGGGGCACTCTGGAGGGCTTATACAGGCACATGCCTCAAACAAACACTTTGGATTCTTGACATAGAAGAGACCCTATTATTGGTGAAGCGAATCATCTAGCTACCTGCTTGCAGCACGCCCAAGTAAAAAAATGTGATGATCTTTCTTCTTCTACGGCCTTCTCTGTTATTAGCAGGGCCTGCTCTTCGCCTCTGGCAGGATCAAAAGCAGAGAGGCTCCTTCAATTCAGCATCCAACCAGCTGGCCATCATCCGACACAGAAAGTCTACAAAATCCTCTGAGATCGAAGCTTGCCACGCATGAGGCCATCTCTGCAGAACTTGCTATTTAGCTTCATTCGGTCGCAAACCACGTGAAGTGACCGGGGCCGCCCAGTCTAAGACTTCTCCGGCTGTGAGCCAGGTAAGGGTGCTCACGGGCCAACCATGAGCAACAGGGCCAACATGCTGTCATCCTTGGCCATTCGGTAAAAGACAACGATCGACTCAAGCAAAGGTCTCTCAACCGTCTCGCGGTCGATCACCGGCGGGTCCCCACTGGGGGTTTCTTTCTCTCGCGCACCGGCGTGGTTTTGTTTCTCCGGCCTTTCCGCACTGACGGCGGAGCTTTTCAACGGAGCAAAGCTCTTCGGATCAACTCGTCACCCTTTTCGACGCACGACCGACCGCGCGACCGCTCTGTCAAAGGCCAGGGTCGGCGGCGCCAATCCGTGGGGGGTTCGACGACTGGAGCAGCTCAACAAAGGTTTCGAGCTAGTGAGGCCAAACGGCGAAAATGGGGCGCTCAGCATTCTCCAGGTCTTCATCGAAAAAGAACCTGCCAAGCAAGATCTCTTCATCTGCCATCTGACCAACTCACAAGTGAGAAACCTCAGGGCACAACAAGAGTCACCAGTCCATCGGGCAGTCAGACTGTGGAGGCAGCTATGTCGATCTACATGCATGGCTTTTACTTTTGCGGTTGCTAAGAGCTTAACTTTATGTATGTTTCTGGAAGCGGAAAGAAAGTGAGAAGCCTGGTCCCGTGACCAACCAACATGTCCAAATCGCCTCTGCCTCACTGCAGCATCCTCGCTCCAGGCCCAAAAATTTTGCCTGTTTGATGGGGCTTTGCTTCGTCGGACATCATGTCTGACCCCATATTGCAACGCTACACTCCAAATCAAGAACTTGGCCGTTGAGGCTTGAAGCTTGAAATGCACAGCTTGCAGAAGGGTTCTTGGACGGACGCCACGTCCAAGGCCCCGGCAATCTGGAGAACATCGCTATTAGGGCCCGGGAGGCCATCGGTAGTAGGTTGGAGGCCCTTCTCGGTTGGAGGCCATTACAAGTAGGTTTCCCATTACAACTCGCTTCGCTCCCATGACTCGTGCGTTGCCACGATGTTATCGGCGAGGCCGCTTAACGCCGACGGGACAGATTGGTGGGATCGGGTCGAGCCGTCGACTGGCCGCTCGGGTCTCCCCGGACGCATTGATGCTTTTGGCTCAGATCTTGATCAACATGCACAAGGGTCGGTCCCAAAAAAGCACCAACCCGCATGCGCGGTTGAGGGAGGGGGCTCTTTTCATTGTTCTCATGGTGGTTAATCTAACTGTGGAAGTTTGAGCACAAGCGAAAACACAGACGCAAAAGAACCTCTTCAAGATCCCTCTCTTCACGTCCAGCCTGTCACAGAAAGAGGTCTTCTGGCAGCTAAGTTCCACATAGTTGCTCGCTTCGAGTTCTGCGAAGGGTCTTGGAAGAAACACCACGTCCCTCGGCGATCTGTGACTGGCTTGGCCTTCAATCACGAGCTCATAAGAGGCGCCGCAGCCGTCCTGTTTTCAAGCAGACCGCCCAAACCAATGGCTTCTTTGGGCTTGGGGTGGGGTTTCACCCGTTGACCATGGGCCACATCAGCAGGGCCATCAAAGCCTCAGGCCAGGCCGTGAAAAACGGCCAAACATCGCTTTGCCATCACACGTCTGAAATGCGATCCAAAACGGGAGATGGGGGCTTTGACCTCTGGTTCAGATAGTAATCCTATAAAATATGTCGCCCAAGGTCAGCAACGCTGGTTACCTTCCATCTGGGCGAGCAGTTTGGCCTGGTTTCTCGGAACCAAGGGCCACAAGTTGCAGCCGTCAAGATACTTCTGTACCCATTCGGCTTCCCCCGCTCCAACGAACAGAAGTGCCACCAACTTGAAGCGAATTCATGTCACGAAAAGGCCAGCGCCAGCAACGCAAGACACCATACTGCGCACGCAAGGCGGTTGACAAGCAGGCCGCACTGTGCAAACATGGCGCTGCAAACATGGCGCGTGGCGCGCGCCAAATGCTTTCATTTCGCTTGCACAGCCAAAGGTAAACGACCCACCAAACCATCGACTTCAAAAGCAGCCTACTTCACCTGCCCAGCTGGCGAGCCTTTCACAGCTGTCCCAGCTGCGGCTACAACCTCAGACGACATACGATCCGGAAAAGACTTCTCTGCGCTCGCTCGACCTGCCAAGCCCATCCAACATGTGCCCATCGAGATGTGGAGCCAAGCTGCATGGGGTGCCCATCGTGGCCATCTTAGCCAGCGTGTGGATGTACTGGGCTTCGCGGCTTCATCTACAAAGCTCACAGCAGCTTGGCACGGAGCAAAGGTTGTTTGAACGCCTTTTTGTCCAACGCGCATGGAACACGAAGTTGGGCGTCCCGCTCTGTTCCAATGTTACCAATTGAAGCGTGGAAACGCTTTATAAGTTCCGTTCTGTTTAAGAGCTTCTATTCAAGTTTCGGATCAAAACTTGGAATCGATTGGCTTCTCTCGGCTTTTTCGCCTGCCAGGTCACGGAGAGGAGCACTCAATCCTGAAGGCATCGATAGTTAGGTCATGTTCCACCGCGCTTATTACGTCGGATGGCATATCATATGGTCAACAATAAGAAATGCCTGTCTCACCTGTCTCAAGGATTTCCCTATACAAACAAAATAGATTGCAAATTATGACAATGCGCTTACACCTACGCCGGGCCCTGTCAGCATATTGTTGATCCTCTCTGGTTCTGACTATCCGTCAAGGCCTTACTCTTGTGAGAGAGGTCCTGGGCAGTCAGTTTTGGAATGACTCATTGCAGCTGCTTCCGGCCTTGCAGACTTGCCGGATGCTCCCCACCCAAAAGCATGAAAAAGGGTGTTCCGGTCGGACGCGCGCTGGGCATAAAGCATACTGTCTTCCGCTTCAGTCGGGTCCCACGCAACTTCCAGCGCTTCGAGCTGCTCGTCTCGGTCTTGAAAGCGCTTCGAGCGCCTGTTGGTCAAAGCCGGCGCTGCAGAGGTGTCAAAGCCAGCGTTCTCGCCAGGCAAGGCGTTGAGATCGATTCGAAAGGTTCGCACCCGGTTCGCGAAGGAGTGACTAAGGAAACCACCCGGGATGGACAGCACATGATGGACAAGGGTACAT